TCGCCCCTGAACAAAAAGTGCTGCAGTGTATAAATGTGGATTGTATTATTGTATATTGCCTTTGTGATGTCTGAAATTGCTTCACGTGATTTACTGTTAAGTGCAGTGACTGTATTTTATGGATGAAACCTACAGCCAATTGTACACAGCAATGTCCCACAAACAGCCATGTGAACAAGCAATTTAATTAATTAATAGGATTGTTGGCAAGGATACTGGGAAAACTCCCTTTTCTTCTCAGGTAATACCTGTTGAACCTGTACAAGCAAGCAGGACCTCGGTTTAATGTCTCATCCCTTGACGTAACTTTCTTAAGTTTGATTAATGAACAGGTTTCTGAAAAGGGTATATTTCAAGATGCATACAATGTGCTATACCTTGTGTGAGACGTTAGATCATCTTCCTCTTTTCAAAGAAAGTGTTTTACCATCAGACTGTTGATACAGAAATAGAATTAACATGGCCAACCTCTCAGTTTATTCTGTCCATTCAAGTGAATGTTTACATTTAAAAACAGTGCCTTGTATTTTCAGGTTTTAATGTTATTGGAAAACCTACATTTGTAGCTCTACATGCATATTAAAACTGAATTTATTTTCTGTATTTGCACGTGAACAGAGATATCTTACTTGGACTAAACCCCTGGCAACAACAATTCAAAACAGATGTTGAGAAAAAAAATCTGGTATTTTATCGTGCCTTATGCCACAACTTCTTGAAGCCTTTTTTTTGGCCATGACTGTCATTACTGCCAAGTGTAGCAGCTTTTTGTGAAACCAAACCTAGCATATGTTGTTATAATTGTGGTCTTTCATCTCTGGGTCTCACTGATAACAGGGACCACGTTGAATAAATATCACATTTTACACCAATGAACTTATTCCTGCCATTTGAACACCTTTCAAACTTTTTTTCAGCATCGAAAGTTATCAACTGAAAACCCCAAAAAAAACCTGACCAGTGCACAGAGATGGATTTTGCTGTATCAATCAGCTGTCTGTGACCAAGTACAGTGTATTATATGAACACCAAAAGGCCATTTGTCCATTCTATTAGTTTGTGGCCATTCTTTCTAATCCCATTTAGCTGTCTTTTTTTCCCCCATGTTTCTTAATACCCCTCAATTTTTTATCTCAAATATTTCAATTGTCTCTGTATTCTGAGGCAGCGCATACCATATATTATCGCAACCCTCTGTGGCTTAAATAATTTGGCAGACAATGCTGTACGGAACGTCACATCATATCTTGAGAGAAGGAAGTGGCTAAATGTGAATCCAGAATCATGAATTGTTAATGGAGAAGCTGCTAAATGGGAACCACAGCTGAGGGAGTTAGACTAGTCATCTGAATTCTGCGATTGTATTGCATCTTTTTAATCCTTATTTGCATACATGTCTTTAGTTTATACCTCCTTATACAGATAATCTTTTGTGAGATATGCATTGTTTAATGAGTATATTGTAGAGCTAACTAGTCATTACCACATATATAAAAATATACATTTTCTGCTATGAAAGTAACAGTAATGGATGTGCAATAATCGGAGTCCTGTAGCTCAATGGTTAGAGCACTCGCTTTGTAAGCGAGAGACCTGAGTTCAATTTCAGGCAGAGGGCGAAACCTTGGGCAAGTTTCCTTACTCCACACAGAGCCTAATAATAATCCTCCAAAACCAAAAACAATAATAAATTGGTCATTTCAATCTACGACTGTTTGTGGGACATTGCTGTGCGCAATTGGCTGCCGCGTTCGCCCACAAATATACAGTCAATTCACTTTACAGTGTGTTCTGTGAAGCGCTTTGGGACGTCCTCCCGACGTGAAAAGCGCTATATCAAAATACAAGGATTATTATTATTAGTAGTAGTTGTATTTTGCCCACAACCTGCAATTCAAAGGAATTGAAAACTGAAGCTGAATAGGGTTGGGTGATATTTCAACAATGAACAAAAAGAACAGCAGTAGAAGGTGAAACAGTTGTCTTAAATAACTGTACACTAAACTAAAGCTTTCCTGCTGTAATGATACTGGTCATTATACTTTCTTTTTCTACACCTTGGTGCCAGTTCCAAGGTCCTTTTATACACCTTGTCTTCTTCTGATTGGCGTTTTCTTACTAATACTTGCATTTGATATAGCGCCTTATCATTTTGTTGAGACGTCTCAAAGCGCTTGACAGAATATACCATAAAATGCAAGAATTATTATTATTATAATAATAACTTTCTTCAGTTGAACATCAACAAGACCGAGATTCTCCTGACATCTCAACAAAGTGATAAGGTGTTATATCAAACGCAAGAATAAGTAAGAATCACAAGAAGATAAGATGTATAAAAGGACCTTGGCAGTGGCACCAAGGTGTGGATTGATTGATTGTTCATGCTTGAAATGTGATGCAATACTATTCAGCTTAAGTTTCCATTTCCTGTGAATTGCAGGTTGTTGTCAAAATTAAACTTAATTAAACTGATTTAATTAATTAAACGGAGGTCAAGGAATTATTATTATAAATGTAACCCGGGTAGCTAGCTGTTGCTTGTTTGAACAGACCCAGAATGACAAGCACTCTCAAGCAACTGTATCTCTAGTGTTCTGTGGCTGGTGTAAAGGCATATGTAGCGCTTCTGATTTTCAGGGTTTATTTTTTAGCAATTTTTTAAAGCAATGTTACAAATAGTTTTTTCAGGCTTTTGTTGCTGGACTGCGAAGATGGGCCTGCGAGGGGAGAGGGGAGCGAGACACCATTAAGCACTCACAGATTAAGATATCTGTTTATAATGCAAGCCAGTTTTAAAACCCTCGGCAGGCAGTCTCAAAACCGTAGGGCGAGGGCCCACAGCATTGTTGTGACTTTCCTCAGAAGAGACATTTAACAGGAGTCCCATCTGCCTGTTCCGGCAGAAGTTAAAGATCCCAAGTCATCATTTATCATTACCACAAAGAGAAGGGAGTTTCTCTCTCCCGGTGTCCTGCCAACAAAACAATTCCACAGATAAAATTGGTTATTTGCTTTACGGTTGTTTGTGCATGCAAATTGGCTGCCACATTGGCTTACAAAATGCACAATCCCTGCACTTTACAGTAAATCCTTTCAATCATCCTCGTGCTTTGATTCGTCCTCCTGACATGAAAGCTGCTATAACAAATCCAAAGGTTATTGCTTCGATGACATTAACCCTGGCTGTAATGTTTTTACAAAATGACAGATGTCTGAGGCAACTCTAATTGTGGGCAGCATTTCCCAAGATCACACGAGAAGTTCGAATGAAGAAGGCCCTGCGGTCCATTTGATCTTCTCTTCTCCCAAAATCCCCACCCTAGCGTCCTCCCATCATAGTATCCAACTGTTTCTTATATAAGTTCCACGTCCTTTCCTCGACTACCCTTCTGTAATCCTGTGCCCCATTGTTCTGTGGACCAGAAGGTAACGATTCCTATACACGAGAAGTTCGAATGAAGAAGGCCCTTCGGTCCTCTTGATCTCATCTTCTTCAAAGTCCCCACTCTAGCGTCCTCCCATCATAGCATCCAATTGTTTCTTATAAAAGTCCCACGTCCTTTCCTTCTGTAATCCTGTGCCCCATTGTTCTGTGGGCTGGAAGGTAATAATTCCTACACCCACACACTGATTGATCATTTTATTTAGTTCCTGGTATGTATCATCCATCCCGTAGAGGATCAGACCAATGGTGTCAGATGTCAAATGACCAACTAGTGGTGGGATCCTTCTCAGGGTTGGGGGGGGGGGGGGAGAAGAGGGGAGGGGGGAGGAGGGTAAGCAGGGTCCAAGGTACATGTTTGGCAAAGGAATGTCAAAGTTGACAGAATCGTGGAGTTCTGTAGTGTTGCAGTTGGAGCATTCGCTTCGTAAACGAGAGGACCGGGGTTCGATCCCCAGGCGGGACGACATGTTGGGCAAGTTCTCTTACCCAACACACCTCTGTTTACCCACTAGTAAGTAAGAGCCCGGTTGTCAGTCGATTGGCGGATTGTTTTTCGGGGGTAATAATTCCTTAAAAAAGTTTTAAAAATTTTAAATGTCACTCAATCCACGACTGTTTGTGGGACGCTGCTGTGCACAATTCGCTTGCGCATTTCACCCACAAAACATAGTCAATTCACTTGACAGTGTATTCTGTGAAGCGCTTTGAGATGTTTCGAAGATACGATAAGGCACTGTATCAAATGTAAGCAGATGTGTGCCTCCAGAGAGAGCAAAAGTGCATGTTCCATTCCGCTAAATAATAATAATAATCCTTGCATTTGATATAGCGCTTTTCACGTCGGGAGGACGTCCCAAAGCGCTTCACAGAATACACTGTAAAGTGAATTGACTGTATATTTGTGGGCGAATGCGGCAGCCAATTGCGCACAGCAATGTCCCACAAACAGTCGTAGATTGAAAATGATCAATTTATTATTGTTTTGGTTTTTGGAGGGATTATTATTAGGCTCTGTGTGGAGTAAGGAAACTTGCCCAAGGTTTCGCCCTCTGCCTGGAATTGAACTCATGTCTCTCGCTTGTAAACATTCCTGGACTCTCCATGTGTAGGCAGGACACGCGTGTAGGAGGGACACGCGTGTAGACGCTTTGAGACGTCTCAACAATGTGGTGAGGCGCTGTATCAAATGCGAGGATTATCATTATATATATTTCTATATATATGCATGCAATTCTCAGTTTGGTTCCGTTTCTCAGCCCATAAGACGGCCGATGGGATGGTTCCACAATGGGTCAAGACACCCGGCTCCGGCTGACCACCCCCCGCACTCCCCCACGCAAAAAAAGAAAGAATCAGATCATTTAAAAAAATCTTCACAGTCTCTCTCCAAACGTAAATCTGGTTAAGAGCGAGTAAAGGAGGGAGTGAGTGAGTGAGTGAGTGAGTCAGTATGTGTGTGTGTGGTAGAAAACAGAAGGAGAACAGAATTGAACTCCGCCTACTCGACCAATAGGGTCTATAAAGACCCAGAGAGTAACGCAGACTCAGACTCAGTTCTTGTTGACTTATCTGCGAGGAAGAAAAGAAAGACACAGATGGATCCCAGACATGATGAGGTGCCCATGAACCCTCGGAGTTACAACTACGATGGCTTCAAGACTGATGGTCAAGCTGTGGCTGTCCCTCAGACAGTGATCAGCATCGCCCCCAGTGTGTTGCCAATCAGGGACCATGTCCTCTGGTCAATATTCACCTTCATTTACATGAACTTTTGCTGCCTCGGGTTCCTGGCTCTGGTCTTCTCTGTTAAGGTAAGTTTTAAGTTGCTTTCTCCACCTTCATCCTTTACTCTCTCTTCTTTCTCTCTCTTTCTCGTCCCTCTCCCTCTCCTCCCCCCCCCCCAAAAAAAACTTTCTGGTTGCAAGAAAATGAATAAAAAAAGAGGGGAAGCAAAAGAATGGTCCTGGTAAGATGTTTTATATGTATCTGTCTTTGTAATATGTATCTTGCAGTGGTTTGTTTGGACGTTGCAACACTTTTCGATGTCGAAATGGCGTCACTTTAGTAAAGCTTTTTTGCTTTTTTTGCGAATCGGTTTCTCCTGCGCAATAACGCGAACCACTTTCGTAAAGCGCTGGTTCGCAGGGAATTGGTGAAGGCATCTATTTTTTGTTTTATCTCTCTATCTATATATACATAGATATACATATGATGCATTAAAAGTTCATGAATAAAGTGGGTGGTGAAAGTTAATTCGTGTTGGGTTTTTGCTCTTTGACTCATTTGGTTCCATAAATAATACCCCATTTGCTGCTCACGTTTCAAGTCGAAATGTACCCTTAAAACTTTTTATCAGCACATTTCTGAATCCTTTCTGTCCCCTCCCCTTTCCTCGCTAGGAATTAACCCTCAGTCGATCCTTTTTTTCTTCTTTCCGCCTTATTTCTTTCTTCCTTCTCCCCCGATTTCTTCCTCTTGCCCAATAATAATAATACTTGCATTTGATATAAGTCCTTGAGACGTCTCAAAGCGCTTCACAAAATATTTCGTAAAGCGGAGTGGCTGTGCATTTTCTGGGCGAAACGCAGCAGCCAATTGCGCGCAGCAGCGACCCACAATGAATGAACTCTCACAAACGTCGCACAAAATGGCTCACATGAATTGAGTGACCAAATTATTATTAATTCAGGTTGCGAGGCAAGTGCTCTAACCGCTAACACTGAATTAGCAGAAGGTAATACACTGAATTGGCCAAGTTTAAAAAAAATATTGGTCACTCAACCCACGACTGTTTGTGGGACACTGCTGTGCGCAATTGGCTTCCGCATTTCGCCCATAAATTACACAGTCGCTCAACTGTACAGTATATCTTGTGAAGCGTTTTGAGCACGTCTCACGATGTGATAAGGCACTATATCAAATGCAAGGTTTATTCTTATAATTATTCTTTTGAGGTACTGACTAACCCAATCGTGGCCGCTCTTTATGGTCGGCTAATGCAATAAAAAATGTTTTGATTGAACAGTTTTTGGGTTACGATGCAAATCAAGAAATATTCATTCAAGGAAAAACTGAAGACACACTCATGAGTGACACAGACTTGCCTAGACTTGTGCAAATGTTCAGAATACTACTTCTCAACAGTTTGGCCAGTGCTTTGTAACCCATTCCTCCGCTACCCATTGAAGCTGAGTTTTTTGTTAGACGCACCTGGTGTCAGTGTTCTGGAGCACTACCTTGCGTGAGAGGCGCTATATGAATAAAAGTTTTTGTTGCTTTTGACACATGCGGTAAACCTTCACCAATTTTAGCAGTATACACTCTATTCTGTAAAGCGCTTTGAGACGTCTAGAAGACCTGAAAAGAGCTATATCAAACGCAAGGATTATTTATTATTATATATAACACAGCTCAGCATGAAATGAGTGAGCATTACCTTCCTACCCACAACATGGAAACGTATCCCTTCCCATTGAGCGACTGTTTCACCAGATGGCATTGCAGTGCTGGAGCAGCAGTTTCTTACCTCTCTGCAAACGAATCCTGGTGGATTCCAAGCACTGGATGTATGATTGCGTACTCACAAACTCAGACTCCAGTTAATGCCTTCCAGCAGCTGTTGACCCAATTGATTTAATATACCAATTGTGGATTCGAAGGGCAGATCTGGCAAGGGATGTCTTTTTATATTAAAAAAGAATGTACAGAGAAGCCCACATTATTACATTATTTCGCCCACAAAATATACAATCAATTAGGAACATAGGAACATTCAGCATCGTGAGCCTGTTCCACCGTTCTATTAGATCATGGTTGACCTGCACTGCAACTCCAATTACCCCTGATTGTACCTCTAACTCCAATTCACTTCACAGTATATCCTGTGAAGCGCTTTGAGATGTCTCAACAACATGCTGAGGTGCTACATCAAATGCAAGGATTCTTATTATTATTGATGTGCAAATTGAAATTACGATTGGATTTTTTTTAAGCTTTGAATTTACATCTTGGCTTATTTTTGCTTTGCTTCCAGTCCAGAGATCGTAAAGTTGTGGGAGATGCAGCAGGTGCCCAGCATTACGCCAGCACAGCCAAAGTGCTCAATATAATCGCGACCACGCTGACTCTACTCATCATTGCGATCATCATTATACTTCTCGTGGTTGGAGTTTTCCAAATTGCCAGTTTTCACCAGCAATACCAGAGTTACAATTACGGAAAGTGAGCAGCAGAGTGTTGGCAGCACATTCCTCACTGGTTTTGCCAGGATCCTTTTGAACTCTTTGCTTTTGTTCTTCATTCTAAAGTGCTTTGTTTTTTTTTAATGGCTTCTGGCTTTATGAAGTAGTTGCTTGTCGAAAGAAAATGATTTGTATTTGTCTGTTCTTGGGATTTTCTTTCTGCCTCTCTTGTGTATGATGCTTCGGTATGTTTTGATGTTGAATGGTGTTAATAAACAAGTTTGCAAGCTTCCTAGCAAGTGTTCCATTGCATTCTTAATGTCTGCAATGGATCTGGTAAAATTACATATGGTACATTAGAATACATTAGAATATACAGCACAGAAGCAGGCCATTCGGCCCAACTGGTTTATGCCGGTGTTTATGCTCCACGTGAGCTTTCTCCTGCCTTTCCTCAACTAAGCTTTCAAGCATAACCTATTCCTTTCTCCCTCATGTACCTATCTAGCGTTCCCTTAAATACATCTATGCTATTTGCCTCAACAACTTCTTGCGGTAGCATGTTCCACATTCCCACTCTGTGTGAAGAAATTTCTTCTAACTTCCTTATTTGAGTTACCCGCCAGTTAGCAGGAACCCGGTTGTTAGCCAAGTGCCAGATTGCTTTCCGCGAGTGGTAATCCCACCAAACATTTGATCACTCGATTCCCGACTGTGGTGCGAAATTGGCTGCTGCGTTTTCCCCGCATAATGTATAGCCACTGCACTTCACAATATATTTTGTGAAGCACTATGAGAACGATGCAATAACTTTAAGAACATAAGAACATAAGAATTCGGAGCAGGAGTCGGCCATTCGGCCCCTCGAGCCTCCATAAATTCACTACCCTCTGAGTGAAGAAATATTTCCTCAACTCTGTTCTAAAAGGCTGACCCTTAATTTTAAGACTGTGACCCCTGGTTATAGATTCTCCTACCAGGGGAAACAGACCCTCAGTGTCTACTTTATGAGCCCTTTAAGAATCTTATATGTTTCAATAAGATCTCCCCTAATTCTTCTGTACTCTAGAGAATGCAGCCCTAGTTTATTCAGCCTATCCTCATAGGTCAGTCCCCTCATCCCAGGAACTAACCGAGTGAATCTACGCTGCACCCCCTCTAGGGCAAGTATGTCCTTTTTTAAATAAAGAGACCAAAACTGCACACAATACTCTCGGTGCGGTCTCACTAAGGCCCTATACAGTTGCAGCAAGACTTCCCTCCTCTTGTACTCTAAATCTTTTGCAATGAACACTAACATGCTGTTCGCCTTCTTAGTTGCTGCTGCACCTGAAAACTAACTTTTTGAGAGTTTATATTATACTATTCTGTATATATTAGTATATATTATACTATTCTGCTCCTACTGTTGATCATTCCATAGCCCACATACTGAAAACCCCTGAATCCCATCTCCCTGTCTACCAGCCATTACCAACAACCACAAGATCACATTTGTATAGCGCCTTTCACGTCCATTTTTATGCCCACAGAGGGGTGGAGGCGCTGACAGTAGTCAATCAGGAGGTCCTCGGTCTTGTTGATGTTCAACTGAAGAAAGTTAGCTCTCATCCAGGACTTGGTGTCTGATCGACATACAGTCAGAACAGCAGTGGTCCTGGAGTCGAGGGTGGAGGCAGAGAGATAGAGTGTGGTGTCATCCACGTACATGTGGAAGTTGACTCCATATCTGCGAATAATGTCACCAAGAAGGAGCATATAGATATTGAAGAAGAGGGGACCAAGGACAGAGCCCTGAGGAACCCCACGCAAGATGGTACGGGAGCTAGAGGAGAAACTATTTGTGGGGATGAAGTGAAGACAGTGTGAGAGCTAGGATCTGAATCTTTCAAGGACAGAACCATGAAGGTTGAGGTAAGAGGAGAGGTGGTGGAGGAGGATAGAGTGGTCAACGGTGTCGAAGGCAGCAGAGAGGTCAAGAGGTCAAGGAGGACGAGGAGGCAGAGGGAGACCTGGTCGCAGATGGACAGAATGTTATTTGTCGCATTGACCAAAGCTGTTTCGGTGCTGTGGGCGGCACGGAAACCCGATTGGAGGGATTCGTGAAGGGAGTGGCGGGAGAGGAAGGAGCGAAGTTGGGAAGCAACAACTCGTTCCAGGACATGACAGCCATTTTTAAAGGGGTGGCAACGGTGCCAGTGGACGGAGAAGTTTATTTATCTGTGAGTAGAGGGGCAAGGAGGTGGAACTATGAGGTAAGGAGAGGGGTAGGGATAGGGTCAAGGTTTGGAGGGAGGGTTGGGTAGGGGCCGGATTGTGAGGAGGTAGTCGACAGAAGGGCAGAGGGAGCTGAGCGGATCCCCTCAACTTTAATTTCGAGGAAATCCAGCATCGCCTCACAGTTGGTGTTGGAGGAGAGGATGGGTGAGGCGTGACAGGGTGGGCGGAGGAGCCGGTTGGTGATGGAGAAGAGGAGCTTGGGGTTGTCCTTGGCATCCAAGACTGTCATGGAGTAGAACGACAATTTAGTGGATTTACCCTTTCCTAAATCTTCCCCTTGTTATAAACTTGTTTTCCTTGCTACCAGCAACGTGCATGACATTATTACTTTATAGTAGTAATGTCACATTATTTATGGTAATAATGTGACATTATTTACCCCACATCTGCGCCATGACCCGTTCTGCCTTCCCCCACCTCCACCACATCAGTTTTTGGAAATTAATTCAATTTAGATTAGCAGAATCGTCCTTTTCGGTTTAATCACTGGAGAAATCTAGATTGTATGAGGTCGGTCTCAAATCCTTTCCTAAATCTCCCCTTTGTTGTAAATTGTTTCCTTGCTACCAGCAAAATGCATGACATTATCACATGGTGACAGAAGACTGCTATAATGTTTAAAAACGATGTAACTGTTTTTTTGCTTTTTCTCTCCACCCTCTCTCACCAATTTTCTCCTCTTTGCCTCTCCTTAAGGCATTTGACCCCATTTAATACAAGAGCCTTACACAGCAGGCGGATGTTTCAAAGAGCATCACAGGACATTCTGTGTGTTCTGTGGATGAACCCAGCAGCCAATTTGCTTGCAGCAATAACCCACAAACAGCCATTAAGTTAGCGACCAATTTTATCCAGGGAATTATTGGCCAGGATATTGGGATAAACATTTCTCCAAGTTGAAATAGTGTCACACGTCCTTTAATGTTCACCCGAACAGGCAAGAGATAGTACCTCGGTTTTAGCATCTCATCAGAAGGACGGCAAGTGTGCTACCAACTGAGCCAGGCTGATACACGAGGTGGGAGGGCAAGTCGAAAAAGGTGTTAAAAAGAAAGCCAAAGCCCTAAAGGATAGGGTGGTCCTAGCTGGACAGCAACAGGATTTTTTCCTGACAAACCTTGCTCTCAATGTCAAAGTTTGCCAGTATTAGTTGGTTAAACTCTGGCAACAGAAACATATAAAAGAATAGGAAGGAGGATGGGACTCAACAGATAGGTATTTCAGATATCCTGTGCAGGCCTCCTTCTGTCCTATAAATGTCTCCAGTTCGTGGAAAGAGATCTCGTAAATCTCCAGACCCAATTGCCAAACATTCCCTGGGCCGACAAAATTACTCCCAGCCTCATTAGGAGCAAAGCCAGGCAGCTGAAGCCAGAAACCAAACACTAACAAACCACATGCTATAACCCCAGTGAAACCATGTACAGAAATATGAATGAGCAACACAGATCTGTGAGGTAATATGCAATCCATACATTTGTCTCTTTGCAAAATATGTGTCAGCCTGGCTCAACACTCTCACTCCTCAGTCAGAAAGTTGTGTGTTCCAAGCACTACATCAAGGACTTTGAATTCACACAGGTCTCTGGACTTGACTGCAATTGTCTCTGATGCTCTTTGAGATGTTTCAACGACAATAAATTGGTCATTTTCAATCCACGACTATTTGTGGGACACTGCTGTGCCCAATTGGCTGCTACGTTTCGCCCACAAATATACAGTCGATTCACTTTACAGTCTATTCTGTGAAGCACTTTGAGACATCGAGAAGACGTGAAAAGCGCTATATCAAATGCAAGGATTATATTATAACAACAAATTACATTTGTACAACGCCTTTCACGGCGGGAGGACATCCCAAGATGCTGGACAGTCAGGGATTTGGACCCGAGCAGGGGTTTGGGATCAGGAGGGGTGTAGGGCAGAGAGTGTAGGTGCAGGAAGGTGATCGAAGGCGCAGTCAAAGAGGAGGGTCTTGAGTTAAGACAAGTGGTTGTATTTTGTGACGATCTTATATTTGTTCTCTCTCATTGGTCATTAGTGCTTAGAAATAACTGGTCAGTGTGTTCAGGACACAATCTCTGCTGACTTGGAATCGGAAATGTAAACCGGATGAAACCCAAAGTATAGCAGCTTTAAGATCTCTGTGAGCCACATTGATTTCAACCAGTTCAAAAATAGCTTTGAAACTCCGTGAAGTCTAAAAAGTCTGGGAAATTGTAAACAACAAACCGCACCCATCGACGGGTGAATTAAAAGCCTGAACAAAATGTATTCGGATTCCCAAGCAAAGAAGACAAGGAAAGAAAGAAAAAAAAGCTGAGCACAAATCACGCCGTCAATAATAACAATAATCCTTGCGTTTGATATAGCGCCTTATCACGTCTTCGAGACATCTCAAAGCGCATCACAGAATATACTGTAAAATGAATTGACTGTATAATTTGTGGGTGAAACACAGAAACCAATTGCGCACAGCAGTGTCCCACAAACAAATAGCACACAATCATTACACACTTTGCCTTTGAGATTCCCCCTCCCCTTCATCCCCCACCCACCCCCACTCCCCGTTAGTAATTCAACAGGCGGTGGTAAGAGTATAGAGTTTATTGCATAAGGTGAAACATAAGGTTTAACAATCTGTAATAAAATCATACTACATATAACAACACAATAACATCTATGTGAGCAAAACATTTATCACACAGCATGCACTCAGGGGTTGCTCAGTACGGCACAACACATCTCAAAATACACAGCAGCGATCAGCCCCCGGAAATCTCTCAGGGACAACTGATTCTCACAATCTTAAGGCTGCCCTGTACTCAGGACTGAGTGCATGTCTGGGACTCACTGCATACTCCAGACGAACAATACCCGAGACTACACTTTGACGAACCTCCGTGAGATCAGCCTCTGGATATACCCCTTAGAGACAACTGACTCTCGTAATACCAATGCTAAACAGGCGTCCGATAAACCCTCGGTCCCAACCAGTCATATGCAATACT